AAGCTCTTTTAATCAAGAGTGATATCGTTGGAGGGGTCCCCCCCCTTTCACACAGATCAGAAGAAGTAGCGTCTTTTTATCTCCTCTGTCCTGTGCGGGCGTTGACGGGTTACATAGCGTGCACAGCTGTAATGCGTCAACATTTGTTTGTGCATTATAGAGATGCATCTGCAGGTCGTCCGTTATCCACCCAGCGCTTGTCACACTGGCTGTGTGAGGCCATTTCTGAAGCCTACAGAGCTTCAGATTTAGAGCCTCCTGAGCACACTCGACCAGGGGTATCGCATCTTCGACTGCTTTGCATAATGTATGTCAATGCAGGACATTTTGCACTGTGGCCGCGTGGTCAACACCCTGCTCATTTATTCGCTTTATCTATGTAATGTGTCGGCTCGTTCCATGACACATTCTGTCTTTAGTGTTTTACAAAATGAATATTGTTGTTCATGGAACTCTGCTTTACTCATATCTGTCTGCATGCATTACAGTGTGAGATGTTATCAGTCACAAGTTGTGACTGTTATTTGGGTTCTATTGTCACTAATCAGTTTCACGACTATTGTTACCAATCATTTAATTTGATTAATAATCAGCTCTCCTGTTATCATTAATCTGTTCATACGGTTCAGCCGTAAACCGGTTGGTTTATGGCTCCGTTCAGCACTTTTCCCTCCCCGTTAAAAGTTTTCCGGGGCGTTCATGCATTCAGAACGCATAGTTACACAACATCCGTCTGTGCATGGCACACATAATTACGCAATGCATAATTACGTACATGGGGAGCTGAGTGGCAAGACGTTTTTTGGGTAAGCTTCTGCTTCATACGGTGTTCAAATGGACCCAGTGAGGCGAGGACCACATCTGCTTCGCCCTTAACCCATCAGCGACAGCGTTAAAGGGCAAAGCCTAAACGAAATAGAACGTTGGTTACGTACTGTAACCCCAGATTCTATGAGTATAGGCCTAGCCCTTTAAGCGTCGGGCCTCACTGGCTCCTAAATGGCTGAAGAAAAAGCTTTTTTGGGAGCCGATTTCCCGCTCAACGTAATTTATAAGGACCGGGTGGGGCCCACTAAATTGGCGTGGACTAAATTTTTTCAGTGCAATGCTACGCATAACGGGATAAAACCTCTGAGCGACAGCCTTAAAGGGCTACGCTTATACTCATAGAATCTGGGGTTACAGTACGTAACCAACGTTTGTGCCAGGGGACTGGATCTTTGGGATGAACCAGTCTTTGCCATAATGTATTTTGGGGTTTAAAAGCCACAGGGACATTATGTTTAGAAAATAAACGTCTCAGTTTCTCTGATACTCCCTCAACATACGGAATGACCACTGGTGTGGGTCTGGGTTCCTCCTTTTCACCTGATGGCTGACTGGAGTCCTGTTTGGGTTTCTTCTCTGCTTTCAGGAAGGCCCAGTTAGGATATCCACATTGCTCTAGAGCCTGTCTTGTGTAGGATTTCTCCTTCTGCCTGGCTCCCGAGTTAGTGGGGATGCTGTCTGCTCTGTGATACAGAGTCCTGATGACTCCTAACTTGTGCTCCAAAGGGTGATGGGAGTCAAACTGCAAATACTGGTCTGTGTGGGTTTGTTTGCGGTACACCTCGGTTTGCAAATGTCCTCTATCATAGACTGAGACCTCACAGTCCAAGAAAGCCAACCTGCCATTTTTTTTTACATCTTCTCGTGTGAACTTGATTTATTTATCCACAGAGTTGATGTGGTCAGTAAAATGTTGGACTTCCTGAGATTTAATTTTAACCCAGGTGTCGTCAACATACCTGAACCAATGACTTGGTGGTGTCCCTGAAAAGGACGTCAAGACTCTCTTTTCTACCTCCTCCATGTACAGGTTGGCAACAATAGGAGAAACTGGAGACCCCATAGCACACCCATGTTTCTGCCTATAATATTGCTCCCCATATGTGAAGTAGGTTGACTGCAGGCACAGTTTCAAGAGTTGACACAGTTGTTCTGTGGAAAGCGTGGTCCTGCTGCTCAGAGTGGTGTCTGATTTTAATCTTAAACTGACCACCTCTACTGCATCATCAACAGGAATGCACGTAAAGAGTGATGTGACATCAAAAGAGACCATAGTTTCATCAGTCTCCATGATGACATCCCTCACCTTATCCACAAAGCAGCAAACTGGTAGATCCACTCTGAGAAGGTGCTATTTAAGAGACTGAGCTGAATACAGCACCTCAGACTGAGGAAGTCTCTTGGATGAGAGATGAAACGTTTCTATATTTTTTTGCTTTGTTTTGTTTTTTGTTTATTTTGAATGTCCAGAGGACCAGATTGAACTTTTTTGGATATTGTTTTAATCTTTTTTTTTTTTTTTTCTTTGTCCTGTCCGGCATTGTGACACTTAGAATTATTGTCTGAGTGTCAAAGTGAAGCCCAACAGATTTACTTTCACAAGCAGAGCATTATGGCTGGCCTTAATGCTCCACTTGATATATAAATTAAATTTTATTAGAATATGCTTTGGGTTTGTGTAATGGACACGGGGACAGAAAACAAAGAAGATAAAGCAGAAAAGTGAGAGAAGAGTTAAAATGTAAAGAAGGAGATAGGAATAGAGGAGAGAGAGAGGGGGATAAAGAGAACACAAATCAACATCATTGAAGTCTGCCTCTAGACCTGCGGAAAGAAAAAAACAAAAAAACAAAAATACCCCCGACAAAACCAAGAAACCACAACAACAAACAACTTATATAATGATAGTTATAACATCATTAGAAAGTATTTTATACAGTACATGGTAATACAATATATATTTGATGGCCACCACAACCCAACTGAGTGTGTATCTGATAAACACCTGAATCTAAACACCTGTGTGAGCATGCTTATCACTATAAGGTTTCTCATAAAAATGTTCAATAGTGGATGTGGGGACCCATATACCCGTCCCCACAGGACACGAAGGTAACACAGGGAAGACCGGAACCACAGACACACAGCGGCCCCCAAGCCTGGAACTCCGGTAGTAACCCAACAGGGACACCCGCACCCCCCAGAGAGAGAAGCAAAGGGAAGCCCTGGGCGATCCCCAGCGACCACAATGCAGAAACCCCCAGGAGACCATAAAGACGAGTCAACAAGCCCCGCCGGCAACACGCCCCTCCAGAGTGGATCCAGCCATGGACACCAAGCCCCGAGTCCCGAGGTCATACCACCCCCCGACAGAGCCAGGGCACCCAGGCCCCAGCAGGCAGCCACCAGGGCGGGCCCGCACACACCCCACCACCCAGCCCCAGCTGCTGAGAGCCTCCAATGCACCGGCGGCAGGGGAGCCCACCACCGGAGGGGGAGCACGACCCACCAAATGGGGGGCCAAAACTGGTCCAAGAGAGGGGTGCCACCCAAAACCCAACCTGAGACAAACAGGCACACACAGACAGCCCGACAGAGCCTCTGTTGGGCCATCCATGCGCCCCACCTGCCCAACAGTGACCGCAAGCAGGCCCCAGGCCGGGGGCCAGAGCAGCAGGGAGGAAGGTCAGCCCAGCGCACCAATGCATCCCTAAAGCCCCACACCACAGGCCCGGAGAAGCCCCGGCATGCCACCTATGCCCCCCCCCCCCCCCCCCCCCCCCCCCCACCGCAACGCACCCACCCCCCACCCTCCGCCCCCCCCCCCCCCCCCCCACACACACACACACAGCACCCCGCACCGTGAATGTCACATCAGGCCGACCAACCAGCACTCCGTCGAAGTGAAGCCACGCCCCCGACCGTCGCCACGCACTACCAACGACCACACACACACAACGACAGCTGACCTCCCGCCAGAACCCGTCAGCCACCCCAGCCAAAGGACTGGCCATCAGAACCAGGGACCCTGATCAAAGGATCCAAACAATCCAGGGAGAACCGGAGCACCAGCCCCACCCCCAATCGCCCCCAAATGCCCAATACCCACCCAAAGCCCAGACCCCAACCAGGCAGCCTACACCCCCTCCCCCGACCCCAAATGTCAGACAGAGAATGAGGGTTTAAGAAAAGCTGGAAGACCCAACTCCTCCCTCCCCCACTCAAATAAGATGTTGATGCATGTTGTTATGTAGTGCGTTTAAAATGGGGGGGGGGGGGGTGAGGTGGAGACTGGCACAGACCCACCCCCTCCCCAGAGAGCAGGCAGTGCCCGTTCACCCCCCCAACTCTTGCCCAGAACCCTAAATGTCTACATGCTACATATGAGAGTGGGCACAGGTCCCGGAGGTGAGAATGATATAATGATGTAATCTTTTGGTCAGTCGTCAGGTTTGCTTTCTATCCTGGTCAGTTCATGTACCTTTACTAGAAGCTTACATGAATCTGATTTGGGTGGCAGTTCACTTAACTTCGTTCTGAATTTCATTATTATGTGCACATTGATTGAAAACACTGAGGTCATTATCCTGATGCATGCTCAATAATCCAGGTAGAAAATCTACAAAAGATAAGTCAGGTCCTCTGGACGGTTCAAAAAAACAAACAAATTGTAGAAACGTTTCGTCTTTCATCTGAAAGACTTCTTCAGTCTGAGGAGCTGCATTCAGCTCAGCCTTATAAATATCACCTTCTCATAGTGGATCAACTGGTTTCTCTGCTGGATCAATGACCACCGAGGTCATGAATAAAAGTTAGCGAGAGGTGATTTTGTCATTTACATACCCATTCATATATTTGACCTGTGTATAAATAAAGGTATTTTTGCTCATTTTTGGTTCGCTTGTCCACGTGATATGTGATTGAAAATTGTATTGAGCAGATTCTAGATTAGTTTAAATAATGATGGTTTCTTATATGTATACTGTAAATGATTTTGTAACATTTCACCCCAGCTGCTGCTTGTTGTCTCATTGAGAGAGTTTGTGAGCATGTTCTGTGTTGTTCAAACTGTTTTATGTGAAGAAGATTTACTTTGGCTCAGAACCTCAAATAAACCAGTCCTGTTCTGAGGAAATGTCCACTGAAGAACCATCGTTTAAATCTCTCCACAGGTTTTTCACGACTCTTGTACTACAAGATCTGGTCAACGAGGTTCCTTTGGGAGCTGTTGCATCTAAATACAACTGCAGCCGTGGGCAGCTACAGTCTCTCCAGCAGTCTGCTTCCACATATGCAGGTACTTACTTCTGAGTGTTGTCTTGTGTGGTTGCACAAAGCACATGTTTCAGAAATCAGCAGCATTACACTGTTTAATATTCTGGGTTTAAACTCTGAACATGAATACAGTAAATGAGAACAGTAACTCCAGAATTAGGAATGATTGTGTCATGTATTCTAGATGTCAAGTTGCTGTAAGATGGTTCATTATGTTTTAGTGTCAGAAGCAGCTTGGATATCAACCTGTGGCTCACATGCAGTTTCTCTGGATCAACATTTTATCAACACAGTCTTACATCCAAATAAAGAAAACCAGGACAATTTACATCTTTCTCACCCCCTCAGGTATGATAACGGTGTTCTGTACGCGTCTGGGTTGGCACAACATGGAGCTGCTTTTGTCTCAGTACCAGACCAGGCTGAGCTTTGGAGTCCAGAGGGAACTCGTCGATCTCGTCAGGGTTTCTCTTCTGAACGCGACACGAGCCAGAGCGCTCTACGCTCAAGGCCTCTGCACTGTGGCTGAACTTGCCCGGGCCTCTGTAGCTGATGTGGAGAAAGCTTTGCGGAATGCGGTCCCATTCAAGAGGTCGGTGTGCACACATTTGTGTTTATTCCAGTAAAATTTACTATCATAATAAAGAGAACCAGAATATCAATCCATAAAAGAACCGTCAGTACAAACACACCTTAGCAAACAGAAAAATAGAGATTTGACTGTCAAACCCAAACTGATTTATCTCCTGGAGCTTAGTACTATTATTATAAATAATCATCTGTCACCCTCTGAAAGTGCCTCTTACCCAATAACAAAGATAAAAAAATAAATCTAAAAAAGTTAAATCTGGTCCTCTGGACATTCAAAAAAACAAAACAAAGCAAAACAACAAAAAAATGTAGAAACGTTTCGTCTCTCATCCAAGAGACTTCCTCAGTCTGAGATGCTGTTTTCAGCTCAGTCTCTTAAATAGCACCGTGTCAGAGTGGATCAACCAGTTTTGCTGCTGACAACCAAAACCAGCTGATCACATGCTCAAGAAGGACCATCAGCCTAACAATGGATCATTAGCACCCTGATGGCTAAAGGCTCTGGGTAGTAAGAAAGCACTTCCAAATGACTGGGCTACTACAGCAATAGTAATTAGAGAGACAGGTAGGAAGGTACTTGGTGTGTCATCTGGACAGAGAATGGATGATAAGGAAACCTGGCGGTGGAATAATGAAGTGCAGGATGCTGTTCAAAGAAATAGATTAGCCAAGAAGAAATATGACAGTGAGAGGACTGAAGAAAGGAGACAGGAATATAAGGAGATGGGACGTAGACAAAGAGGGAAGTAGCTAAGGCAAAGCAGAGGGCGTACAATGAGTTGTTTGGGAGACTGGACACTAAAGAGGGCGAGAAGGACTTGTACCGATTGGTAAGACAGAGGGGTAAGGCTGGAAAGAATGTGCAGCAGGTTAGGCTTATTAAAGATAGGAATGGCAATGTTCTAACAAGTGAGGAGAGTGTGACAGAAAGATGGAAGGAGTACTTTGAGGAGCTAATGAATGAAGAGAAAGAAAAGTAGAGGTCATAGAAACTGTGGACCAGGAAGTGGGAAAGATTAGTGAGGGTGAAGTCCGTAAAGCTATGAAAAGAATGAAAAAGGGGAAGGCAGTAGGACCTGATGACATACCAGTGGAGGTTTGGAAATGTCTTGGAGAGATGGCAGTGAAGTTTTTGACTCAAATATTCATTGGCATATTCAAGGGTGAGGAATGGAGAAGAAGTGTGCTGGTGCCCATTTTTAAGGACAAAGATGATGTACAGAGTTATAGCAACTACTGGGGAATTAAGTTGATGAGCCACACATTGAAGATCTGGGAGAGAGTTGTGGAAGCAAGACTTAGACGAGAGGTGACTATCTGTGAGCAGCAACATGGTTTCATGCCAAGAAAGAGCACCACAGATGCCATCTTTGCTTTGAGAATGCTGATGGAGAAGTACAGAGGGGGTCAGAAAGAACTCCATTGTGTATTTGTGGTTTTAAAAAAAGCATATGACAGAGTGCCAAGAGAGGAGGTGTGGTATTGCATGAGGAAATCTGGAGTGGCATATGGCAGATGAGGTCAGGCAGGAATCCCCATGGACTATGGACAAAAACTTCATAAGTGAATTTTCTGACTTTCTGTCTGGAATACTGCTAAATTACTTTAATGTACATGTTTGCTATCCTGACAAGCCTTTGGTGCAGGAGTTTCTAAATCTGATACAATCTTTCAACCTTGTGCAAAATGTTGTTGGTCCAAGTCATCAACAGGGTCATACACTTGATTTAGTTCTGTCTTACGGTTTATCTGTGGTTAATCTGGAAATTGGGAATGCTATTGTTTCAGATCACAAACCCATTTCATTTGAAACCTCTGTTATTCATGAGTATCAGAAATCCCTCGCTCCAGCCAAGAGTTGTTGGATATTTAACTCTTCAACCGCTGCTCTTTTTTCCTCTGCATTCATTACTGATGCTGTCTCAGTCTCTGAAACCTCTTCCTGTATTAGTACGCAGGAGCTGCTCAGTAGGCATTATGCGACCTGCTCTAAGTTTTTTGACCTTGTGGCCCCGCTAAAAATCAGGCGACCAAAGCGGGCACCACACCCCTGGTTGAACACGACCACTCGAGCAGCCAAACATCTATGCAGGAGAGCTGAACACAAGTGGAAAAAAGGACAAATTACAGGTTTCTTTTATTATGTTAAAAACATGTTTGAAAGATTATCAGAGCATCGTTAAATCTGAAAAGAACAAATACTTCTCCCAAATCATTGCTTCAAACAGTTATAATCCCCGTGTTCTTTTTAATACCGTAAATTCCATTTTAAACGTGCCTCAGTCTGCCAGCATGGAGGCCTCTGTTGACATCTGCAATGACTTTACCAGATACTTTGCTGATAAGGTAGAGTTGATTAGGTCATCCATCCCCCAGTCCACAACTGATCCCTTTGTCTTTGTCCCTTGCTCAGCTGTCTTCAGACAGTTTGAACCCATTTCACTCCCATTTCTAAACAAAGTCGTTGGTAAGATGAAACCCTCCGGTTCCCCTGCTGACTCCATTCCTGCGTCGTTTTTCAAAGAAGTTCTTCCCACGATTGGTCCCTTTGTTCTTACTATTGAAAATAGTAGTATTGTAACAAGTGTGGTTCCCGATGTTTTCAAACATGCAGTAGTTCATCCGTTAATTGAGAAACCTGGACTTGACCCTTCGCCTTGCTCAAATTTCAGACCAATCTCAAAACTTCCCTTCCTGTCCAAAATCCTGGAGAAAATAGTTTTCATTCAATTAAACAAGTTTTTGAATGAGAACAGAATCTTCAAGATTTTTCAATCTGGTTTTAAGCAATTCCACAGCACTGAAACAGCATTAGTAAGGGTTTGTAACGATATATATATATATATTTTTTTTTCATTTAGCCTTTATTTATCCAGGTTAGTCTCATTGAGCCACGAGAACTCATTTTCAAGAGAGACCTGTTTAGGGAGCACATGGTGGGGGTTAAGGGCCTTGCTCATGGGCCCAGAGTGGGGCGAATGAGGGTGGGGGCAAGTGTGGGTGTTTCACCTACCCCACCCACAATTTTGATGTTGTCGGGGCCGGGGCGTGAACCGGCGATCTTCGGATCACAAGCCCACCTCTCTAACCTCTGCGCCACCACTCCCCCTCTTGATATCAAACGATTCTGGTCAATTTGTGGTACTTGTGCTCCTGGACCTTACTGCTGCTTTTTGATACTGTTGACCACAGTATCCTTATATCACGGCTGGAACAGTGGGTTGGGATCACAGGCGCTGCATTAGAATGGTTTCGCTCATACCTGAGTGGCAGGAGTTTCTGTGTCAAGGTTGGTAATAATATATCCGCCTCATTACCTCTTTCTTGCGGGGTCCCACAGGATTCGATTCTTGGCCCCTTCTGTTCTCACTTTATTTGCTTCCACTGGGGTCCATCCTGAGGAAACATGGTCTTTCATTCCATTGCTATGCTGATGACTGCCAGATCTACCTGCCTGTGAAACCAGCGTTTGCTCCATTCACCCTCTGTTAAAATGTCTGGACGACATTAAGGCCTGGATGGCTTCAAATTTCTTAAGTTTTAACAATGAGAAGACTGAAGTCATTGTCTTTAGCCCTAGCTCAACTGCCGCCACTGATCCTGTCAACCTGGACTCTCTTCAGCCCTATCTTAAGCAGTCTGGTAAAAATCTCGGGATGGTTTTAGACTCTGACTTCAAGTTTGACAAACAAATCAACTCTGTTCTGCAGAAAAGCTTCTTCCAACTCAGACAGGTAGCTAAGCTCAAGCTTAGCTACCTGTTGTCCAGACCTGACCTTGAGAAACTAGTCCACGCCTTTGTCATGACTCGATTGGACTATTGCAATGCACTCTATGCTGGGGTCAGCCAGGCCTCCATTTCTCGTCTTCAGCTCATCCAGAATGTTGCTGCTCAGCTTTTAACCGGAACTCGTAGGTCTGAACATATTACACCAGTTCTGTCCTCCCTTCACTGGCTCCCTGTTCGTACAAGGATAGTCTTTAAAATTCTTCTGTTGACCTTCAAACGCTTAAATGGCCTCGCACCCCTTTACCTCTCTGAGCTTCTGGAACCTTACGTTCCCTCTCGGGCCCTGAGATCATCTGATCAGCGGCTTTTGGCTGTTCCATAAACAAGACTGAAGCTCAGAGGAGATCGGGCTTTTTCAGTCATGGGCCCCAAACTCTGGAACAACCTGCCCCCCAACATCAGGCAGGCCACCTCCATTCCTCACTTCAAATCTCTGCTTAAAACACATCTGTTCTTGCAGGCATTTCACACAGTGTAAATTGATCTAGTGGGTTGGTTTTTTTTTTTTATCTGTGACCCTATGTTTTAAATGCTTTTTTATTAATTCTTCAGTTATTATTATTAGTGTATTGTATTTTTTTCTCTTTAATTTTACTCTCATTGATTGTTGTTGTTGTTGTTAAGCACTTTGATAACAGGTTCTGTTTTAAATGTGCTCTATAAATAAAGTTGACTTGACTTGACTATGATGTTTGCAGATTACATTGTGATCTGTGGTGAGAAAAAGAAACAGGTGGAAGAGAACTTGGAGAGGTGGAGGTATGCACTTGAAAGAAGAGGAATGAAGGTCAGCCGTAGTAAGACAGAGTACATGTGTGTGAATGAGAGGGAGGAGGTGGAACAGTGAGACTACAAGGAGCAGAGGTCACAAAGGTGCAGGACTTCAAGTACTTGGGATCCACTGTCCATGAAAATGGGGAATGTGGTAAAGAAGTGAAAAAGAGTCTAGGCAGGATGGAATGGATGGCGAAAAGTTTCAGGAGTGATTTGTGACAAAAAGGTGTCAGCAAAGGTCAAAGGAAATGTTTACAAGACAGTGGTGAGACCAGCTATATTGTATGGTCTGGAGACAGTGGCAATGACAAAAAGACAGGAGAAAGAACTGGAAGTGGCAGAAATGAAAATGTTGAGGTTCTCCTTAGGAGTGACAAGGATGGATAAGATTAGGACTGAGATAATCAGAGGTACAGCACAGGTTTAACAACTGGGAGATTAAGTTATAGAGGCCAGACTGAGATGGTTTGGATGGGTAAGCCACAAAAGTTTATAGCTAAGGATGCTGGCTGTTCACAGAGTGCTGTGTCCAAGCATATCAATGGAAAGTCTAGTGGAAGGGCAAAATGTGGCAGAAGATGCACCAGCAAAAGAGATGACCGTGGGCTTCAGCAGATTATCAAACAGAGAAGATTCCAGAACTTGGCAGATATCCAGAAAGCTTGGAATGAGGCGGGAGTCACAGCTTCAAAAACTATCACATTCAGACGAATCCGGAAGATGGGCTTCAACTGTTGGGTTCCTCGGGTCAAGCCAGTTCTGAACCTGAGCCAACGTAGGAAGAGTCTCTTTCCAATGAAAGTAAAGTGTGCCTTTCATTTGGAAATCAAGGTCCGAGGGTTTGGAGGAAGAAGGGTGAGGAACAGAGCCCATACTGCTTGAGGTCCAGCATAAAATATCCACAGTCAGTCATGATTTGGGGTGCAATGTCCAGTGCAGGTGTTGGTAAACTCTGCTTTCTTAAATCCAAGGTCATCGCAACAGTCTACCAGAATCACAAAGTTTGTTTTCTCAGTCATCCAGGTATATAACAACAAAAAAGGTTGAATCATGTCATCTGGACTTCGTTTTTTT